GCATTAGGCTCATGGAAGAGAAGGACAATCCCATATTCTTTGGAATTCGACCGCCCTCTCTCTCTCTCTCTTCCAAGGAGTAGTTCTATTTCTTGTGCTCCACTGATACAAGATCTAGATAGCTGTTTTAGAATACAGTAGAAGATCTTTAGGTTTATACGGGATTCCAATCAGATCTATCATACATCCAAACCGGAGACCAAAACCAGCAAGTGACCATACCACGACGACCAGGACGACGAGCTGAAGAGATCGCCGTCGAGATCTCCGCCAGCCGCCGCCGCACGCGCCCGCACGCGCCACCGGAAGGTTGCAGTAGCTGGGACTTACTCGCGCGCGTGAGAGCGCGTGGATCCTCCGTTTTCCGATCGGTCAACGCCGTTGACTTTGCCGTGACGTCAGCTTTCTGGATTGTTAAAGTTTGTTCGATTCCGAGAAGATTTGATTTGCAGTCATCTGTCCGGCCCAGCCAGATGTACATAAATTTTAAGCAGTAAGTTTTCTTCATCAAACCTTTAGATCCGCTGTGCATAGGTTTATGTTGAATGTTTGTCCGTGATTTGTGCATATCGAGATCCTCATATGTCCCAACACTTCAATACCTGCTTGAGTGATAATGTGGCCAAGAAAGGCCACTCGCTGAAGCCAAAATTCGCACTTGGCGAATTTCGCATATAACTTCTCACGTCTAAGGGTCGAAAGAACGGCCCTAAGATGCTCCTCGTGCTCCTTCTGGCTCTTGGAATAGATAAGAATATCGTAAATGAATACAATAACGAACTGGTCAAGAAAAGGATGGAATACACGGTTCATCAAGTCCATGAATACTGCCGGGGCATTACTGAGGCGAAACGGCATAACTACGAACTCGAAGTGACCGTATCTCGTACGAAACGCTGTCTTATGTATGTCTGACTCCTTGTTTTTCAGCTGATGGTAGCCTGAACGCAAATCGATCTTAGAAAACATGCAGGCACCCCTCAACTGATCAAATAAATCATCGATCCTGGGAAGCGGATACTTATTCTTGATCGTCAACCGGTTAAGATCCCGGTAGTCGATACACATACGCATGGATCTGTCCTTCTTCTTGACAAAGAGAACGGGTGCTCCCTAAGGGGAAACGCTCGGTCAAATAAAACCGAGATTCAGCAACTCTTGAATTTGGGTCTTTAATTCCTGCAATTCTTTAGGTGCCATTCGGTACGGCACCTTAGAAACGGGTTCGGCTCCAGGGATAAGATCAATAGAAAATTCCACCTGTCGGCTAGGTGGACCGCCCGGAAGCTGATCTGGGAACACGTCCACGAACTCACGAACAATGGAAATGTCATGTGGTGAACGTGCCTTTGGCTCATCTTCAACGAGGCTCACAAGGTAACCCTGGCAATCACCCCGTCGAAGAATCTTTCTGGCTTTCGCCATAGAAATAACATGGGGCAGAGTACGAGTCCTAGAGCCGTAATAAGTGATCTGATCATTTCCCGGAAGATATAGAGTAATCTCCCGGTCGTGACATCGGATATGTGCGTGAAAACGTGTTAGCCAATCCATACCGAGTATGAGGTCAAAGTCCCTCATCTCGATAACATAAGCATCAGTAGTCAGAATACGGCCGCCGATGGAAAGGCTGAGATCGGTGGCTTTAGCGTCAGTCACTATCTTTCGTCCCGAGGCTAAACTCACCTCGAGAGGATCGACAGTGGTAATAGAATGAACCCCTTTAGATCCGCTGCGCATAGGTTTATGTTGAATGTTTGTCCGTGATTTGTGCATATCGAGATCCTCATATGTCCCAACACTTCAATACCTGCTTGAGTGATAATGTGGGCAAGAAAGGCCACTCGCTGAAGCCAAAATTCGCACTTGGAGAATTTCGCATATAACTTCTCACGTCTAAGGGTCGAAAGAACGGCCCTCAGATGCTCCTCGTGCTCCTTCTGGCTCTTGGAATAGATAAGAATATCGTCAATGAATACAATAACGAACTGGTCCAGAAAAGGATGGAATACACGGTTCATCAAGTCCATGAATACTGCCGGGGCATTACTGAGGCGAAACGGCATAACTACGAACTCGAAGTGACCGTATCTCGTACGAAACGCTGTCTTATGTATGTCTGACTCCTTGTTTTTCAGCTGATGGTAGCCTGAACGCAAATCAATCTGAGAAAACACGCAGGCACCCCTCAACTGATCAAATAAATCATCGATCCTGGGAAGCGGATACTTATTCTTGATCGTCAACCAGTTAAGATCCCGGTAGTCGATACACATACGCATGGATCTGTCCTTCTTCTTGACAAAGAGAACGGGTGCTCCCTAAGGGGAAACGCTCGGTCGATTAAAACTGAGATTCAGCAACTCTTGAATTTGGGTCTTTAATTCCTGCAATTCTTTAGGTGCCATTCGGTACGGCACCTTAGAAACGGGTTCGACTCCAGGGATAAGATCAATAGAAAATTCCACCTGTCGGCTAGGTGGACTGCCCGGAAGCTGATCTGGGAACACGTCCACGAACTCACGAACAATGGGAATGTCATGAGGTGAAAGTGCCTTTGGCTCATCTTCAACGAGGCTCACAAGGTAACCCTGGCAATCACCCCGTCGAAGAATCTTTCTGGCTTTCGCCATAAAAATAACATGGGGCAGAGTACGAGTCCTAGAGCCGTAATAAGTGATCTGATCATTTCCCGGAAGATAAAGAGTAATCTCGCGGTCGTGACATCGGATATGTGCGTGAAAACGTGTTAGCCAATCCATACCGAGTATGAGGTCAAAGTCCCTCATCTCGATAACATAAGCATCAGTAGTCAGAATATGGCCGCCGATGGAAAGGCTGAGATCGGTGGCTTTAGCGTCAGTCACTATCTTTCGTCCCGAGGCTAAACTCACCTCGAGAGGATCGACAGTGGTAATAGAATGAAACCCAATAGCTTCGAGACATCGGCGTGATATAAAGGAATGGGTCGCTCCAGTGTCAGATAAGGCATAGACAGGCACATCATTAAGAATAATCATCCCAGACATGGTACCTGGGTGATGTTCGGCCTCCGTCCGGTCTACTACAAAAACACGGGCCTACTGTCTGCCACGTGGCTGCTGCTGGGGTCGTGGTGGCTGTTGCCTAGGCTGCTGCTATTGAGGTTGCTGAAGTGGTTGACGTTGTTGTGGTTGTTGTTGCTGTCGTTCGGGACAGTAGGGGTTGATATGGCCTGGCGGGCGACATAAGAAACAAATGTTCTGGCCCACGAGGCATTCTCCACGGTGGTGTTTTCCATATGTCGGGCAGGCTGGTATTGGTCTGGGGCGAGTCCTCCGGTTGTCAAGAGTGGTTCTGAACTTCCTCTTCTTCTGGTTCTTTGATGATTGGGCCACATTGGGCTGGGCTGGTGGCTGAGCAACTGGTTGGGCTGGTGTCTGGATAGCTTCTCGTCGGATACTGGCATCAACTTCTTGAGCAATAGCGACTGTTGGGGCATAGGTCTGGACACCATGACCTACTATGTTGTGGCGGACTGCTGGGAGAAGTCCGTCAGTGAAACGATGGGCTCTCTTCGCCTCTGTACCCACAAGATCGGGCACAAAGGCTCCGAGATGGGTAAACTCTCTCTCGTACTCGTCAAAAGAACGAGTACCCTGTCTGAGTGCCAGGAACCGGCGCTCCATCTCTGCTCGGTAATACGAGGGATAGTACTTTTTGTGGATCAACTCCTTGAATCGGTCCCACGTACAACCTTCTTTCTCGCTGGGACGTATACTCCAATAGGCATTCCACCAGAGTCGGGCATCACCGGTCAGTTGGATTTGTGCGCATAACACACGATATCGATCAGGACAATCCATGACCTCAAAAATCATTTCAAGGCCCTGAATCCATTCATCTACTATACGAGGATCTCTTTGGCCGGAAAATTTTTTTGGCTGGTAGTTGCGGAAATGTGCGACTACTGTGGCCTGTGGGAGCTCCTGGTGACCTGGATCTCTACGAGGAGGCATCTGAACATTGAAATGTTTAACATGATTAAATAACATAAGAGATTAACTGACTGACTGCTTGAGTACACAAATTTCTTGACGAGTCGCTAAATAATCCCAAGAAACTAAGGTCGAATTATCAAGTAACTGAGACAATCGACTATATTCTGAGAGTATTCGAGCATCTTACTGGTTTCTAGGGTCAAATATCTGGTACCCTCTACTGAGCATAGACTTGAGTATTCGTTTAGATATATATAAACTGTAACTCAGCACTTACCTGTAGTCGGCGAGGCGTGAGCGTAGCGTGGTCGGGTCTTTTCTGAAAATTCCTGACTTAAGAAAGTATTCAGATACACGGAAATGTGCTCTGATACCAATTTGTAACACCCCGATAGCTTACTAAAATCAGAGTGCGATTTTCGCAAATTCTTTTCTAAAATTTATGTTTTAGTTGTGAAAACATGTCTCGGGATGCTACAGAAAACATTTCTTTTCTAAAATTTCCGTTAACTTTATTGATTAAATACTATTTATGAAAAACGAAAAATCTTTTATCAAACGAGCGTGTAATGCTGTATAAAATCTGTCCGAAGAACTCGGATCAAAGTTTGGAAAATAACACGCTAGTTTGAAAGTCTGAAACATCAGCGGAAGTAAAAACGTGGCAAATAATATACATATCATAAGTCTGCAAAAACATATATACATATGTACTGCACCGGCGACCACCAACTTTGCTCACTCCTCTGGACCGACCCTGTCACCTTAAAAAGATGATAAAAGTGGGAGCGTGAGCACTAAAGTCACTGTGCTCCGCAGAAACTCATACTGAATAAAACAGTAATAATAATTGCATCATCATGATCAAACGCATGTATATCTGCTGCTATCTGTAACTGCTCGTCAATAGTATAAACTGGACATGTCTGCCGACTGTAATAAACTCAGCCGGAATCATGTGCACACCCTAGTGGTCAGATCTAGCCACTAGAGCTCGGAGTGGAATTACGCAGACTGGCCACCACTCTAAGCGGAACTGATATATACATACCTCGAACATGATAGTTGTAATTATACTCAATGTAATACTCAGTCTGAGTCCCCACCTGAACTAATAGTCTGAATATGTAAGTGCTGCTGCTGATCAATCTGTAAAAATATATATAAATAAACAAATACTAAGTACTATGCTCAGACTGACTGAAAATAGCTGTTAAGACGCTCGACTCGATCTAAATATTTAACTGGAATAATCTCGGGGTCTAACATGACTAACAAGAAAAATGGTACTGGACTGATATCGGTATACTGAACTGATTGGACTGAAAAATTAACTAAAATACTATACTGAACTCGGACCGGATCAATAAATACTGAACTGCTCAAAAATTCGGTCTGAACCGGCCGGCTCATTTTCTGGCCGGACCGCCAGACCGCCGACT